TAACCCCCCCCCCCCACCCCCCCCCCCCCCCCCTTCCCCTGGCCTGGATCTCTCCTGATTTTTTTCCCCAGTCATTTCAAAACCACTCCTCCCTTTGGCTTTCAGGCTCTTGGTCTGGGGAAGCCAGGAATTTCCTCACAATCTTTTGGGAAACCATCTTGACTGTGGTGCTGAATGTTCCCAGAAGAGGTTGACATGGTCTGGACTTCATGAGTTCTGCTGAGCCTCTAATTTCACTCAGACCCTTTTACACAGTTCCGCTTTAGATGGAGATACCTATGGAAAGAGTCTGGTTTGAATCACTCCTGCTTTTGGGAACTTGTATATTTTGGTTTTTTGCAGAGCAGGAAAAAGTTGATAGGATGGATTCCCATCAAGGAATAAACCAAATCTTTTCAGAGTGTATGTGGGCTTTATTCTGTAACTTTCTTCTGGAACATTTGTGTTGTCAGTATTGATGGTAATTTTCTGTACTCCTAAATGCTACTTTGGCTCTGGTTTACTTCTTGTAGACTAGTTCTAGTACAAGATCTCCGTTCAAAATTAGTAAATTCCAGCAAAGTACTAAAACTATAAGAGTCGTCTGTTTCAACTTTGAACTGGTTGCTGGTATTTGACTTGAGGATCAGGTTTTGTTGTCTCAGCCTTTCTTGGGTCTCTACTGGAAGCTGCAGTCACCTTTCATCCTGAGCAGAGAATACTTAGAGAGTTTTTAAGCTTTAGATTTCTATTCTTCCCCCAGCCCCCACCCTCCCCTCCATTCCTGTTCTTCTTCTGGGAGCTGTGCAGACACAGTCAGTCCTTCAGGTCTGACTTGGTATCTTGATGTCTGGAATGGGGAGGGTGTGCTGGCGGGCTTCAGACGTAGCCCTTTTTCAGTTAAGGTCCATAAAATAATGTAACTTCAAGAAGCTATCTTGGTCTGGACATCTACTGACCTCTCAGTTGAACAACTTCACCTCTCTACTCAAGTAAATTGCTATTTGGGCTTCATTTGAGGCATATTTTTAAACTGACCCAAAGTAAGTAAGCAGTGTCTGCCTATATCAGCACAGCAGTTGCATACAGCTGGTTTTGTGTCCAGGATAAGACATCTGGGGCTTTGAGTTCAAGCCCATTGTATTCTTGCTTTGTTAACTCATAGATCACATGCCATCTTCATGTTTGAAACATTGTCATGTAGAATACGGGGAAAAAGTATTCCTCTGTCTTATTTAATAGACCATATAGTTCCTACCAATAACTATATTCCACTTAATTACATGGAGCTCAGAAACTTGAGATGAATTGTCCAGTCAGGCCACAGCAGTTCTGAGTGAGCTGGTTGCTTTTTAAGTGCCTACAAATTGCTAAAGAAGAGTCTTTTACAGGTTTAAGAATTCCCTTTCTGATATCTTACTGCCTTTACTTGTCCTTTTTTCATTACATTAATAAATCCTTCTAAATCTTTGTTTTACAGATTGAGGAAAGGCCAGAAAAAGACTTTGAGAAGGTAAGAAGAATCTTATGAACTATTCTGACAATAGTGCTTTCTTCACATTCTTTTTAGTAGACAGAACTCACAGTAAGTGTACACAAATCTTCTATAAAACCCATTCTGGGGCATAAAATTGAACTCATAGAATCCCAGCCTGGTTTGTGTTGGAAGGGAGCTTAAAGCTCCTCCAGCTCCAACCCCTGCCACAGGCAGAGACACCTTCAATTAGAGCAGGTTGCTCCAAGCCCCTGTGTCCAACCTGGCCTTGAACACTGCCAGGGATGGGGCAGCCACAGCTTCACCCTGTGCCAGTGCCTCACAGGGAAGCACTTCTTCCTAGTATCTGATCTAAATCTTCCCTCTGTCAATTTAAGGCCATTCCCTCTTACCCTGTCACTGCATGCCCTTTTAAAAAGTCCCTCTTCAGATTTCTTGTAGGCCCCCTTAAGCTATGGAAAGAAATTGTTGGAACCTTCCTTTATTACATTTTTGAAGTTGAACTGGTGATTCAGCTGTTAAGTAGTTGACCTTCCAGCTGGCCTGAAACTGGGTTAGGCTAAGTCGCATGAATACTGTGTTTGTTTATTAGATTTTAATTACAGTATTATGTAAAAATGAATAATTAATAATAAAGGAGGAGAGCACTGCAGTAGTGTGAAAATGGCTTAATGCAGGACCCTCAGTACAGTAAAACAGTTAATGTGGCTACTGCTGCAGAGCAGATAAGCATCCGTCAACGGAGAAGAGCTACAAAGTGTATTATGACAAGTTTTGAAAGTATCTGGCAAGATGACACTAGCCCCTAAAGACTTTTTGTCTAATTAAGAATTGATAGTTGGAAGCTAAGTTATGCAAACTCCTATTACAGTAGTGTTTAAATACATCTGATCTGTCTTTTCTCATTAGTTTTCCTTGTTAAATCTTGATCAGATCTTCGTAATTTAGAAGTGCGAGGGTTGGTAACATGTATATTCAAACAACCAAGCAAGCTACAAATGCACAATGTATCGTGAAAATAAAAGGTTCTAACCATTTGAAACTGTGTGTAATTGTAGGGAGCACGCACTGTCTCAAGTTTATCAGCAGCTACCTTAGCTTCTCTGGGTGGGACTTCTTCACGAAGAGGCAGTGGGGATACGTCCATCTCTGCCGATACAGAGGCATCTATTAGAGAAATAAAGGTGAGAAATACTTCAAACCAGCATAAATTATTAAATATCCTTGAGACTTCTTTCCAGAAAAGAAACTGGCTTGTCTCCCCCTCCTGTCAGTTCTGCCACCATCAATTGTATGCTGTAAATGAGAAATGAAGAGCTGTGCTAGAGACATGCTGCTGGGAGCTAGTGTGTATTGCAGGAATATTTGAGTGAACTCCTACGGTGTATGATAGCAGAACAGACTGATCATAATAGACACATCTCATCCTAACCTAATGAAGTAGGAAATGGTCTTAACAGAGCACACTGACAGGAGATGGAAATAAGGAAAGAAGCACTGCACTTGCTGGATGTTAAGTTGGGGAGGGGGCTGTATTTTTGTAATCTAATTTATGATTCTGTGAATTTGGACACATTAGCAAATAGCTACACAGTCCAGTGTCCATGTCATTGAGTGCTAGTCAGGGTAGTCCATAGCTAAAGTGGTTTTGGAATCTGTTGGGTTTTTTTAATGCTCCCTTCTGAACACTCTTATAAAATGGGGAATCTGAATTCTGTTAACTTTCATGCATCTGACTTAAAACTCTGCTGAAATGACAGCCAGTTAAAACATCTGGATTTGTATTAGGACCTCTGGGTCCCAGTTTCAGCACTGTTAAACAGCTGAAAGTCATTTGCTTGTGATCAAGGACAAAAGAGGAGAGAGACTGGAAAATAGGACTTCTAATTAAATGTTGTGTGACAGATGATGTTCATAGTGCTGCCTGTAATTCAGGCTTGCTTTGGCAGCCCTTACCCCTAACACCAGAGTTCCTCAAAGAGCGAGGTAATTGGTAGAAGGGGCAGAGGAGGGCTGTGTGCCTGGGCTATGTAACTGCTGGAGCCTTTGGAGCTGGCTCTGCATCTTGTCCTTAAATTGAAGATGTCCAGAAGAGAGTTTTGGGTGGGTTTTGGGTTTGTTTTGGGGTTTTTTTTCCCAGTCAGGAAGAGCAGAATTTAGCATAAACTTGTAAGCGAGAAATTTCCATGTCTGGTGAGGCTTCAGTTTAGGATCAGACCCTTCACCTGTGTGGTAGAAATGCTCAAATGAGAATTTGGAACACTCGCCATTCCCTGTCGGCTGCGCTTCTGCCTGTTCCTTTGTGGCATCATTTACCTTTCTCACCATTTCTCTCAGGATATCTATGAGTTAAAGAACCAGATTCAGGATGTAGAAGGCAAATACATGCAGGGACTGAAAGAAATGAAGGTACTGGTTTATTGCAGCCTGGCGTGTGATCATTAACACTAGCTAAACATGCAGAGAGTCCATGTGAGACCTAGCACTGACCCTGCATGCTTTTCTTCCTTCTGGGAGGGGTTGCAACTTGTGTGAAAAGCATTCCGTGAACTGGAAAAATACCTGTTCCGACCTTGAGTGGTTGTGGGGAAAAATGCTGCCATCTGTTAACTGAAAGGCTGCTGATTACTGTTGCATGTTGCCTTTGCTGTTTGGAAAGGTAGTAATTTTGCTAGCAAATTAAAATTACTAGGGGTTTTTTTATATATAGTTTTCTAATCCAGGAAACCTCCCGACATTGGAAGATGAGCTAGAACTCATGTCATACACTTCTATGAAAAATTGGAGTTTAAAAGCTTGTATGTTTTTTTTTTTCTTTGATAAGGACCAGCATAACTTTGGGAAGCTGGAAACCTGTGCCAGTGTCTCACAAGGAAGAACTTCTTCCTAATATCTAATTTAAATCTCCCCTCTGACAGTTTAAAGCCATTCCTCCGTGTCCTGTCACTGCATGCCCTTGTAAAAAGTCCCTCTTCAGACCTATTGTAGGCCCTTTTAGAGTCACTTTTAGTATATCCCTTTTCAATTCATGTCTCTTAGACTGTTTTTTGTGGTGAAGATGCTAAGAAAACAAAGCATAGCATGCTGAAAGAGTGGTGCAGCAACTACATCCACTTCTTACTTGCATCTACTTCCTTTCCAGTTACTTTCTGAGGTTTGATCCTAACACTGTTTCCAAATCCTGGTGGCTTTCCTGTGCTTGGTATTTCTCATCCGCGGTCTGGAAAGTGCACCAAAGCACAGTTTGTGTTTGGAACTGTACAAATTCACATCCTTAAAGGCAAATTATCTTACCTCTCAAAACAAATGTAAACTGAACTGGTTCAGACTTTCAGATGATTTTTGTTATCATCTCAATACTATAATTCCCAGTTCTGTTTATTGAATGAAAAAGGAAGTATATGAAACTCACCTGTGCTTTAGATGTACTTATTAGGATTAGTTAAGTTGCAAGAGAAATTGCTTGACCTGTAAACTAAAACCTTGATGTGTGTGCCCTCCTTGTTTGCATATTTGCACTGTTTTATGTAGCTCATTTCTGTATTAAAACCAAATATTGCAAAGTTTGACTTCACAACACAGAGAATTATCCTGATCTTTATTTTGCCATCATTTATTGTTAAAAATATCCCAGTATCTTATATTGAGGCCAGGTTGGTAGGAGGAGTTTTTGTGATACTGGGAATTGGAACTTGCAGAATAAGTTTGTAAAGAAGGGATGAGATCCAGAAAACCTAATGAAAAATGATACATCAGGTCATAGAAGCTGCAGTTTTTTCACCATGAATTCTAATTCCTGAGTCAGTATATTCACACTTCAGGGACCCCTGCACGCTTCACTTTGTGTGAAGTGGCTATCAAACTGCCTCAATTTAAGGCCTAAGGTCATCTAAAATGATCTTAAATCAAGCCCAGTTTACCTTTAAAGAAAAAACCCCGATGTTCCTACATGTCATCTTCAGCAGCTGCTTTGAGCTGCCAACCTGCAGGGGCAGGGGAGGAGGGAGAAGGAAGAAAACTGGGAAGGCAGAAGCTGAAGCAGCAGAGAACAGGAAACATTTTATCCGCCCTGAGGTAAGATTCCTTGCTTGTAGACAGAAGCCTGGTGGGACAGGGAGGTTCTCCTCACCTTGGGACACTTGGTAAGCCTCTCTAGCGCTTGGTTACACTGGTTTCCCTGGGAGTACTGAGCATACTCGTGGTTTAGTATTTAATGTTCTTGTTGAAGGTCTCGGTTGGCAAAATACCCTTTATAGCTGACTGTGGGTGCTGATTCTTTGCAGGACTCTCTAGCCGAAGTTGAAGAGAAATATAAGAAGGCTATGGTGTCAAACGCTCAACTGGACAATGAAAAAACAAATTTCATGTACCAAGTGGATACCCTGAAGGATGCGCTCTTAGAGTTGGAGGAACAGCTGGCAGAGTCCAGGCGGCAGTACGAAGAAAAAAGTAAAGTATGTGTCATAGCACTGGCATGTTATACAACAGGGAGGGGTTCTGGGGGGCCAGAGTCCTTTGGGAGGAGGCAACCAAAATGCTATTCAAGATTTTAACTAAGTTATTGGTTTAGTTACTGTTAAAGCAAGTGGAATAGCAGCATGTTGTGTGCTTGTGGTCATTCAAGTGGAAATCTTCCCTGAGTTTATGTCTTGTAAAGCAGTTTCTGAAGCAGTTAAGAAATATTTTAGATGGTAAGGCTATATGGATATTATCACATGTCCTTTTATAGTCCATCTTTAAATTCAGAGGGGTTGTTCATAGTGACTTCTGGAGCATTTTTGCATACAACGGTCTCTTCAGAAGGTTGGGAGAGAGCTGTGCAGCTGCACAGTTGAGTGTTCAGTTAAGTTTAACATTAATTCAGCATCTGACAGCTAGTGAGTTGGTGTTAAACAATAAAGCTGGGGCTTGCGTTAGCTTTTCAGAGCTGGCTTTTTAGCTTGGGGCATTTGACTGTAGTGCACTTCAAAACACAGTTCCTGGAAGGTAAGTGTGGTATGAGGGGTTTTTTGTTGGGTATTTTTGGTGCTTCACTGGTTTGTTGTTTCATTCTGGGGGGGGTTGGTGTCTAGCTAACTTTTACTACATGGCTATGTGGAAGGGTTAAATTCCCATCCATTCATCTGTGAAGTCCTTAAGATCTGCAATGCTCACTGCCAGCCTGCTGCTCAACTTAGGAAACTGGCTAATTGATGTCTGTCAATTCTGTATTTGTTGGAATAATAGTTTCTTAGAAAAAGGACAAATAAGATTGTGCAAAAAATTGTACTCTTCTGGGACTGTGATTAGAGGAATATTCAAGAATTGCATTGCAATAAGCATTTTCCTTGTGTTTGGGCTTATTTTCTCTTTTTTTTGGTGGGATGCTATTTTTGGTCAATAAAAATCTCATGAATATCTCATTATAGGAATTTGAGAGGGAGAAGCATGCTCATAGCATATTGCAATTTCAGTTCATGGAAATCAAAGAGGCTTTGAAGCAAAGAGAAGAAATGCTTGCAGTAAGTAACTTTTTTCCTTTAATGGCTTCTTTGATTGGGGTATTCCCAGTTAGCCATAGGAGTGTGGAACGTGAGGCATGGAGAATTTTATTCCCTGCTCACGTTTCTCACCTGAAGAAATCGGAGTGTTTCAGTCCAAACAGGTTTGGAGCTGGCTAATGGAAATAGCACTTTCCTAAATATTAGCTGAAGCTGGACTTCTTTTTTTGCCTTGTCTTGAAATAAGCTGTGTTTTGCCAGCTGTTTGGGGAGATGCAGAGGAAACCGACAGAACAATCTTAATTGTCTTAAGTCAACTTGTGACTTGCAAGACTGTCTTCAGGAGCGTAGGTTTAGCTCAAATGTCAGAAATGGTACATATGTAGATGCTCGTAGCACCTGACTTGTTTCATTCTTTGGCATCACTGTGATCTTGATCTTGTTTGTTAACCTGTTATCTGCTTTCTGTCTTCTTGTTTTGTTCCTGTCTCTCAGGAAATCCAACAGCTGCAACAGAAACAGCAGAGCTATGTCAGGGAAATTTCTGATCTTCAGGAGACAATAGAGTGGAAAGACAAAAAAATAGGGGTAGGACTGTCATCTCCTCCAATGTTCAGAGTGGTTCTGTTGTTCCTCCAGCTGACCCTGCTTTTGCAAAACCTCATGAATATAATCCTCCTTAGTGACTTTGCTTTGTGTGGCTCTTTCTGTATGAACAGTGAACGAGCAAATAGAAAATTTTTTCTTTGGCAAGTACCATGAAATTCAATAAAAATTCAGCAGCGGGTCTGATTTCAAAACCTGGGGTCATTTATTTGCTGTTGCACCATTTGTATTTGCCATATTGAGAAAGGAACTGCTATTTTTAATGCAGTTCCATCAGCACTGAATTTTTCCTTATTCAGATTTAATCTGCAGACTGAGCAGAAACAGAAGTAGTATAGAGCTATTTATGGGCTATTGGGATGAAAGTCTTTAAACCTCTCTTGCTTCTCATCCCTTCCCACAGGGTCCCATCAAAGGCAAATGAGAATCCACTCTTAAGAAAAACATGGATTTCTTTTCTAACAATGTGCCAAAAGACTTTCTGAGTATAGAAGGAAAAAGAAATCTGGCAAGTTGCCCATTGTGATGTTTGCCATGTCCAATGACTTGTAGCAACCTGAAACTCAGAACTGTGTAATTGTTGTTACTGGTCTACTTGTACTTCCATAGAAATATTGGGGGGGTCAGTAGCAAACTGCATTTGCACGTGGTACATCTGGGTCTAAAGATGACTTAATGGTAGCTTTCAAATTAATTGAAGTGTACTGCACCCGATAGAACAACCGTGGAATAAAAAGGCGGTTAAAATCTGCTGGTTTGCTTTCAAGCTGTTCTGTTAACACATGGGAAGGGCACTGTGTCTTCAAGGGGCATGTTGAAGTAGTATGGATATGCATTAACTTGTCTAGCAGATACGAGTGGATCCTCATTTGAAGGATCCCTAAGGAAGGATTGGGCTCGGAATGTCTTCAGTAGGAATTCCTGGTTATTGAGTAAGCTGTGCCTCTCTTGGGATTGAAGCTTATCTGTGTGTATGTAAACTTGGTCCTTTAATGTGTAAACTTTACCTTTTTCATACATGCCACTTCCATCAATCTCTGAATATCTTAAATCTGCTCATTCCCCTTTGCACTTGCTTTTCATGGTCTTTACTTCTCTCCCTTCCTTTCTTTGCATCTTCCTCGCCCTCTGTCTGTGTTGGGAACTCAGGCGTTAGAGAGGCAGAAAGATTTCTTTGATTCCCTAAGGAGTGAGCGGGATGACCTTAGAGATGAAGTGGTTGTGCTGAAGGAGCAACTGAAGGTATGCAAGAGGAGTGAAAGAAACTTATATTCAGCTGCTGACCTTTCCCTTCTGTACATTTGTGCAGAAAATTTGAATCCAGCTCAGCAGCAAGAACTCTTATTTATGTTGCCTATAAGTTGCCATTTCAGGAATTTTCTACATAAAGTCCTTCCCTCTAATACTGACTCTGAACTCGTGACAGAAACTGTAGTATTAAGTAGTTGCTTTTGTAGAAGATGCTTCTCTGAGGAACATTTTATGCAGCAAATGTATGTTTAAAGAAGAAAAGAGCTGGGATCACATGCTTTTCACATAATGGCCAAACTGAAAACTGTGATATTCTGTGCTCTTTTCTGACTTCCAGCCATGTTTAGTGGAACAATTGAAGCAATTGTTTATTGAGAATATCAAGGACAAGAACACTTGAACAGTCCCACCCTTTCTGAGCAGCAGACCCTAAAGCATTGCTTTTACTTCTCCACAGAAACATGGAATAATCCCAGATTCTGATGTAGCCACCAACGGGGAGACATCAGACGTTCTTGATAACAAAGAACACTTGGATTCTTCCAAAACTGTTCCAGGCATAACTCAGGCATTGAAGACTGGAGGGGATGGGATGTTAGGTAAGTGCTGTATATCGTTTCATATCTTTCTGTCTGTCCATTCATTCATCTTTGCTTGGAGTTTGGGCATTTGTTTGTGGGACAATTAACACATCACGCAGCATGCTACATGTTAAATCACTTCCTGTGCATTCTTCCGCTTCATTTTTATTACTGGTTCCAAGTATTTTGTGCAGTTTCCTGCAAATTTCCCGTTCAGGGTGATAAAGGATGAGAATAGAAACATTACATTACAGAAAACTGGCAATCATTCAGATTCCTATTTAAACCCTCAATTTGAATAGTGCCCCAGAGCAGTCCTCCTGCTGTGCAGTCGTTTTCAGCACATACGTTAAAGAATCAGGAAAACAAAACAAAAAGAACTTGTTTGTTGGTTCATTTACATACCCAGGATGCTGTGTCTGCTGAACAACAGTGCTGGGCACTGTTAAAACACACTAATGTATGAATTCTTCGTCCTTGGTATCCTGTACTACTGAGCAGTTAATATTAACACTTCCACATTTTTACTTGTTATGTTAACACTGTTAAGTTCAAAGAGTATAACTGAGATGGATAGAAGATGGATAGATTCAGAAGAAATCTGGTTGGCAAAACCATTCTTATGCAGTGGTAATGAATGGCCACTCTGAGAACTGTTATACTAGTGTAAGGAAAGGGAATGGTAATTATTTGTTGTTGTTGTTCTAAATGAACATACTAATAAATAGCAACAGGCAGTCAAATGGTGCTTTGAGCTTTTGACTGCTTTTTCCTCAGTCAGTTTTTGTGTGCAAACAATACGGAACACGAAAACCAAGGTAAGGGTATATTTTTAAGTGTAGTATGTTCTCTCTCTCCTTATTCTGGGTTGGTTGGGTTTTGGGGTTTTTTGTGACCCAAAAGCTAACTGCTGAAACCACAAACGTTGTTTTAATCCCTGTTGCTTCTAAATTACAAGTTGAAGCAAAACTGTTCAAAAAACCTCCCCAAACCCACAGAAGTCCCTATCCATTTGGATGGATCAAGTGGCTGTAAAGGGCACTAAGTATACCTGAGCTTTGGTAATGCTGAACAGCTGAACCATTTGCTTGCCAATCAGATTTTGCATGTTCACCATGCAAAGATCACAAGATCATGATGCCTGTTCATGACACTCAGGAACAAAATATTTCTGAATAACCCTTCATTACTTCATTATAATGGCATCAGACACACACTCCTGCACGCACAGAGTGGTGTCAGGATTGAAGTTGTAAAAGTTATTGCTGAAGGGAAAATAATCTTCACTGTAGTGTTACCTCTGCAAGTGTTACCGCTCAATTGCACTGCTTGAAACAGTTGTTCTCAGCTACAGAAGCTGTAATTCACACAGCCAAGAGCAGAAATCTTTTACTTTACAAAAACTCAAGTCAACACCGAAGGCTTCTCGCTTTGAGAGGGTGGTGGTGAATTTCACTGATCAAAAACCTGGACCCTGACTAATTCAGTCACTGCTTTGCCTCACGTAATTGGCAAAAGCTGATCTTCTATTAACCTATACTTTGCTTCATTCTCTTTCGGGTTTAAATGGGGAGGTAAGTGCTGTGGTGTGGTCCCTTCAACTTTCTCAATGGTCTTTTAGGCAAAGCCAGTGAAGTGGACATGAAAAATGAGATTTTGGAGGATATGGGGAAAAGAGAAATCTTGCAGAATACTGAGCATGAGGAACACAAAGAGGAGTCTGAGGAGCAGGAAGGACAGACATTGCATGCTGACGAAAATACAAAGGCAGAAAAAATGGTTGAAGAACGTGATGCCCTGTCAACAGTGACGTTACCAGATAGTGGGTTTACGGTACAAATTCAAAGCCTTACAGAACGTGTGTCAGGGAGTGCTTCTTCAAACTGTGATAATGATGCAGATGGTTTGAGAAAGGTGGCAGAGGCCGCGGGCACAGCAGTGCAACAGCCTGTCAGTGTAGAGGCTGAGTGCTGTGACTTAAATGCAATGCCAGATCAGGACTTGGAGGTGGGCTCTCTGCAAGGTCAGCAGGTTTTTGAGACTCCTCAGGAAACGCATAGTGACTTAGGCACAGAGCGTGAACTGGAAAAAGCTGCTCCCCAACTGCAAGAACAAGAGGATCTTAAAAGTAGCCATGTCCAGAGTGCTAATGAAATGGATCAAGAAGGTAACATCACAGGCAAGAGCTGTGAGTTGGTTTCTAATGAGGCAGGGCTCCCGGAGGTTACAGTAGCAGGCGTAGTTAGTGAAGAGGTGAATGTGGAGAGCCACACTGAGGCACTCCAGCACTCAGAAGAAAGGGCTGAAAACAAGGTTACGGGTGTCCTGGAGGAAGAGTTTGTTGAAAGCAAAGACTGCACTCATGGAAGAACTGGTGAAACAGGTGATAGAGGTGAAAAAGAAAATGAGGTTGGGAACACAGTTCAGGGTCAGACGAGGAAAACAGAGCCTGTGGGTTTGGAGGGGATGGAGGGTTATGAAAGTGGTGTCCCAGCAGCTAAAATTGAAAAGGAAGGCGGAGGATATCAGGCATTCATTCAGCCAGTTTCTTCAGAGGACAGTCCTTCAGCATCATCAGAGAAACAAAATAGGCAGTATGAAGCTGAACTTGACAATGCTGTGGCTGAGAAGGATGGACAGAAGGAAACGTTAACAGAAGAGTTGGAGATGTGTTCAGATTCTGCAGAAACAGACAAGCAAGATGAGGTCTCTGTGGAGGCTGTGGACTGTATTACTGAGGTAACAGGAGGTGGTGTACATCAGGCAGAGCCAGACAGACACATTGTGATACAGGCAATGACTCAGGAAACCAGTTTTGACCCAAGTCTTTTAGATGACAAGATTAAGGAGTCAGAATTGGAAACAGGGCATGAGTCTGGGAAAGAAAAGGAAAGTAGGACAGAATGGGTAGAAGATATAAAGCCGAAGGTAAGAGTTCAAACTGTTCAGTCTAGTGAACAAGCAATAGGTGAGACAGTAGCAGAAAAAAATACTCCTTTAGAAGGTGAAGCACAGAATGTAGTTAAACAAGAGGAAGGTGAATCCAAAGAGGAGTCAGCTGTAGATGTTAGTGTAGCTACTGAAAGCAAAGTTTGTAAAGAAACACTGAAAGAAAATGAGCAAGAGTTAGAGCTTGCAGACCACCATGGTGGTGGATGTGCTTCTGAGGAAGGTGCAAATAATTCCCTGGCACAGAAAGCTGAGTCAGATGCAAATGTTAGTGAACACATTAAATTGGAGGGTCAAGCCGAGGAAGGACTGGAAGGTGATGGTGATGTCTTTGATTTTGATGAAGAGACAACACAGATACTAGAAACTGATAAAAAATGCGATGAGGAGAAAGCTTATACACAGAAACATGAGGCTGATAGAACAAATGGTGCTGCTGGAAAAACTGCCCAAACAGATGAAGCTGGAGAAGAAGGCAAACTAGAAACAGAAGACATCTGGACTAAAGATGACAGCTTGCAACATAAAAAAGCTGATGAGCCTGAAGAAACAGGGGAAGCATCGTGGAACTCTGAGGAGAAGACTGATGTGATGGAAGATGAAATCAAAGCATCAGATTCCAATAAAGTGGAAAAAATACCAGATGAAAATGTTATGGAACAGGATTTGGAAAGTGCTGGCAATAACAGCGATGAAAGCAAGGAGGATGTGCGGAGTGGTAGAAGGGGCAAGGGTAAATCCAGAGATGACTGTACAATATCCTAAGTTCAGAATCTCAAGACTACACAAGTTACCTGCCACTTGACCGGTCCCAGTACAGAAGCATGCACTTTGCACAATACATCAGGCCTTAGGAATACTCTTGAATTGAGGTGTTTTTTTTTTTATAGGTAACTCTCATCATAATACAATGTTATGTAAGTGGTAATGATGCAAATATTAAGTTACTCACTGACATACCTGGCCACAAGAAATTGTGTGTGGGTTCAGTATTGTTGTGTCTCAGGTTAAAAGTTTATCACTGAAAGAGCAAGCTTCACAAATCTTCACTATCTTGCCATTAAAATACTTTCAGTGTGGATAACTGCTACTGAGCAATTTCTATAGGAAATTCTTTGTTTTTCTAGCCTAGATGGTAGATGTCTTGAATGTACTTAACGTGCCCTTTGTGCACTTATGTGCACACTTATGTGTACTTACACACGAGATCTGCAGGAAGCACATTGCCACTTCATGAAGGAACTCAGTAGATCAGCAACACTGATGTGATTTTGAACCTTCGTTCTGAATGACTGAAGCCTAGGAACAAGTTTTTTTTCTTTTTCCCCCCACTGGAAAAAGATACTCTCGTTCCATTCATGTGTTTCTCACGTGGTTATAGTCTAAGATACAGTTGGGTCACTTTGAATCTGTTCAGTCTAACACTTCCGAAGGACAATATACAGTTTGAGGAAAGCACAACATACAGGTCTTAGTTTGCTGAGGGAGTAGGTATATACATGTTTACTTCATCTGGGCACTTTGCACCACAATAGGCCTTTTCTCCATGCCTCACATGGGGCTTTTCTATTTTTTTCTGAAGAAAGTGTCAATACACACTGTAACGTATGCTTAGATTTGCTGTCAAGTACTGTCTGGTTATGAATATATAAAATACCTATTTTTTTCCAGGAAGATTTTTGTTTAAAATTGCTTTTCCTTTCTCTCTCTCTCTCTTTTTTTTCCCCCCCAAACTGTGATTCTGAAAGAATCTGAAAAATACTTTATCTCTGAAAAACTCCTACCTCTTCCTTTCTGGAAAGAAGATAACTTTGCATGTCTTAATTCTCATTGGATATCAGACCAAAGACTATTATTATTCTGTGCCTTTTTGAAAAGCTGGATTGCTTTAAATTGCTGGCATAAATTAAACACTTTGACTCCACTGCTATATTTCTTCTTGCGTTTTTGCTGGTGCTTGGGAGAAAGAGCATGTTTTGCATACTTAAAAATTCATTTAAAGTTGTTCTAAGCAGTGAACATCCCAAGGAAACGCAAATTGAGGATTTGGGGCGGGGGGGAGCTATGGA